GGGGGGGGGGGGGGGGGAGGGAGGGATGTTGTTGTGACTGAACAACAACTTGTCACTGAAGTCACATGGGTGATCATTGGTGAAGTCATTCGATGCCAGGAATTTTATGTAGGGATGAGTCATCTGAGTGACAGTGGTCATGCTTGTTTATAGTAGGATGAAGCCGTAAGGCTAGCTTAACAAATCACATTTTCAGAACTAAAAGAAATGGAATTCCTGTATTTTATGATCAGATTTCATACACACACATACATATACCTAGATACATACATACACACACAGGCAAAGATTTTGTTCAAGTAAGCTGAGAGCAGCGCAAGATGAGTACCTTTTTAGGCTTCAAGTTTTCACTAATTGGTGGGAAGCTGGCAACGGCTTCAAGTCTTCTGTTGCTTCTCGCTGATCATTTGGGCATTGATCCTGAAATATTTGGAGAAGTGTGTGCGCTGTGGATGGTCTCAGATCTGTTGGGTAAATTGACGCGGCATTTTTTTTTGTCACTCTAGCATAGACTGTGCAGTAAAAAGAAAGAAAAAAAACTGTGGTTCGAGACCTCCAGATCCAGCGCCTGGGACGCCAAAATAAAGATTTAGGTTTCAAACTTAATTGAACCAGAGCAAAATTGAACAAAGAGGCACTAAATTGGGAGGAGAGGGATGCACTTTTGTTTTGATTACGCCAGTCTTATAAATATCAAGAATTTAATGAAGGTACATAAATGCAGCTAAGAAGATACCAAATTCGCTTATGATATACGGGTTTTTGTCGAACAGTGAGAAATTGGAAGACACCGGAAAAGCTAAAATTTTTTGCGCTAACACGCTTACTTTTATAAATAGTTATCAGTTTGAATGAGTTTAATTAAAATTTTTCGAGAACTATTGACTGTTGGTGTCTGTCGCTTTTATCAGGATTTAACAGGGTTGACAAATTCACTAATTCGTTTAATGAGCACGAGAAGTAGCGTAGTAGGGGAATGGTATTAGCAAAGTTTTGGCTGTTTTAACAAGACTGCCCAGGAAACATTTCAGTTAGGGAGCTGAAATTAGAAAACTGAAAGCCTAAAATTGCCTCGTGTTTGGGCTTTACGCTGCCGGCAGGTGAATTCTCAGGCCTCAGTGTTTCTTGATATACGAACTTATTTCCAATCAGGCATAGCCTGTCGTAATGAGTGCAGACTGGAGCAGGATAAGAGCCTGAAATTCTGGTGGCGCACAGGCGCTCTATGAGTTAATGTACTAGTGCACATTCAGCAGCTACAACAGCTGTTCGTAAAATGCACAACCCATTGCATCAGTAGTCTAGTACTGTCCAGTGTTTTCAGAGGTGCAGCTCAAGCCGCATCACAATCCTTATGACATACGCAAGAATTGGCTACAGTTCTTGAGTCGATTTACAAGTGTGGACGAGGATGAAGCAAGTGACGATGAGCCTCTTCTAATGCTGAAAAGAAATGTGCAACTCTCTGTTGAGCGAGAAGTGCAGGTGGTATTTTCGTCTCCTGTAGCCCTGTATTTATTTGTGTTTATGTTCTGGCTAAAAAAATCAAAAATGCTGTTTGAAGTTGGAAAAAGACTACGCGAACGATACACTGACGGAGATACTGTACACCAGCGCAAAGCAAGAAGTACTGGACGGACGCTATTTGTGCGACATCGATGTCAGCATAAATTTGGCAGCTTTACAAATGGCTGTTGAAATCGAGCCGGGGGAGGACGTGCATCAGTTGCTGCTCGGGTTAGTTCTTTTCTTACACGCCTTCCTGAGACAAGAGCTAGAATATTATCAGTGTGGCTGCTTACGAATGATTGGCTTGTTTTCTCCTTTTTTTTTCAAAATTGTTGTTCTTTTAGCCTCGCTGCTCATCGGCCAAATTTTTTGCATTTCTCTCTGTCTAGTTGATGAGTGTTCCCTAGGAAAGCTTTTGTGTTCGGTGCAAAGAATTGTTTTGCGGTGCAGTCACTCGAGTGATATGCCTCAAATTTGGCGTAGCATAGGTGACCTGAACTTCTTTAATCGTGGGTTTTACTTTCCATCATCAGGATCATCTGCAGCACCAGACTGGAGCCTTTTGTCAGGCCGTCTGGGATCATAAGTTAGCTGCTTGTTTTTAATTTATATCTGCTCTTTATCTAACCCAAATTTAACGGTTAATCGTGGGCAAGTCCAGAAGTATTCTTTTGATTGGACTAAACAAAACACCGTTTCAAGCAAGACTTGTTTTAAGATATTACAGAGTGTTTATGACTTGATATCTTTTGTAATAAATTGTTGTAACTCATATCAGTCATATCCGAGCTCAGAGGCATTGCTTTAGAAAGATGTAAATAAGCAAATTGCAGAGATCAACTAGCGATGTATTTTCCATCGAAACATCGGCACTGTGTTCGGTCAGTTTGCTTTTTTGGCTTTCCCGTCATAGGCTGCAAAGGACTGGAAGCAAAAATACAACAAGAATATAACGACACAAAGCTGAAATTCGAGAGCAAGCATGCTTGTCGAAAAGCATATCTTGAAATTGTTCGCGAAACACCGTTTTATGGGTAATTTTCTCCTTTATTTTTTCTTTTTTTTTTTTTTTTTTTTACATTTGAGAATGTACGAATTGTTCTAATTAGATTGCGCCATTCCTAGTTGGTAAATATCAACTTTACCATGAGCCGAGAGAGACAACGTTCAGGTAGACGTACACTGGGGGCATCTCGAAACGGATAAAGCTTTCTCAACTACTTTTTTTGGCCAATAAACTAGTAATGTTTTGCAAAAACCGAAAACAGTGCTGGGATTGCCATCAGGCAGACCAGCAGACGACACAGCACTGATCAGAGCGTCTGGAAACTGCACGTCTGCAGATTATGAAGGACAGCTGATCCAGTGATTTATCGTGACAGTTCATTCTTCGGTACATTTGGCTGAAAATATAAAACTATTGTGCAAAAATATTTTTGAAGTTTGACATTTTTGTTATGACAAATATTGCGAGATTTGTGCAGCGAAAGGTCCATGAAATGATTCTTGCTGAGCGTTTTAGCGATGAAAGAACCCGAATTTACTAAACCGATGGTTATATCCGTTTTTCACGAATTTGCTGGAACTGTTTTTACATTGCCTGGTGGTCATCGTACTAGTAATCCTAGCTTACCTTTTTCAGGGCTGCATTTTTCCGTGGCCATGTCGAGCGACCGCGAGGAACCTCTTTGAAAGAAATTAAGAAAATGATACTTTCGGTTACTCTGCCAGATATACCGGTAATTTTCGTACCGTTTTTAAAATTCGAAAATTTATGAACGAATAAATTAGGCACTGTTATGATATATTCTATCACCGTTTGCAGTGTTCTCTAGAATAACTTGTGCGTGTCTCTGGTGCTTTTAAGGTAACACACCGAGCTTAGCTATATCGACAGTGTGATAAAAAAGATCCGCTGTGGTCCAGTTCTAGTGTTGGGACATAATATATAGGACGTAATGGATCGAAACATTCTCTTTCAATTTGTATAGCTCAGTGTTCTTGTTCCTTCCCTCCCCTCCCCCCGCTTATCTTGTTTTTTTTTTT